GCCAACAAACCAAAGGGCAAAGAAAGCATGCAGATCAATGGAATTTAAACTATGTATCTAAACTAGGATAACTAGTGGCTATACAGGGTTAAGAGTGGCCCAACACTGTTTTTCCATTTATGGGAATATCTACATGGAAACTGGGAAAAAATGGTGAAGATGTGTTCATGCATTATATATGGTGGTGTTGTGCTATCAAAGCAAAGGAGAGCACAAGTTTCCAAAGAAAAGAGAGGCCAGCCTAACAAAGAGCAGATACATGTATTTATATACATGCATATATATTATATATTTATTCTCAAAAGGCTAAAAACAGTTTAGCATGCTAGCACTGCATGAAATAATACCCTTTTTTTACAGTAGACCTTGCAATAATTAATGAGTTAACATTAAAGAGATGAATAAGAGTTTAATAACTTTCCTTATATTCAATATAACCCAATCCTCAAAATACCTCGGACAGAAAGTAGAACACCATGACTATTGAAAATAGACTTCATTATGAGTTTCATCCTAATCGTAAAACTAAATGTCCTATTTCCTTCTCAATTTCCTATCTCCTCCTCAAGGATAACTACTCATCATAAGTTCAGCTGGGCTCTAACCTACTACTCCACTAGGCTCAGAATGTAGAAGAAGGTAGCTCATGTACTTGACCTTCTACGTTCTATTTAACCCTAACTACACAATGAAAGGATTGGGAAAATACACAAATAATAGACAATTTAATAGATTTCATGGGAACATGAAATCAATTCAAAATAATACAGAGAAATTATGTTAAAAGTAAATGGAAAATATTCAACATGAACAACTGTGAAGAAAGACACACCGTACATATGGTGACTGATAATACCAGGCTATCTATGGATGAGACTGGGAAAGAATAGCTTTGACACAGGTCCATTCAAAAAGTACTCCTGCTTATGTCTACAAGCGAGCCAGGCTGGTCTGTGGTATCTGGAGGAAATATACTTGGGTTTGAATTCCTACTCCATCACTTCATGACTGGTTAGTTGAGTCACCATTGGGTAAAGTCAATTATTTTTCTATTGTTATCTTTGTTTCCATAAAAGAGCTAAAAGAGTTATGAGAAAAATTCAATGAACCAATAGCTTCAAGGTAACATCTATACATAGGTGGTGGGCACATCATTTCTATATCAGATTGTTAAAATCCAAAAGTACATTCTATGAGTAATGTACAAGTGATCACATAAGCCAGTGAGGCAGTGGGATTTGCCAGATATGATGATAATTAGTGTTCCCAGGCAGGCTTCATAAGGCCAAAAACAACAGTGTAAGATTTACTCAATGTTCTCTGAATTTCACAGGAGCTTGTGTGTGTGTATGTGTGTTGTGTTGTGTGTGTGTGTGATCGTTGCTGGGCTACATGTACATGCTAGCAAGCACTCTATCTCAAAGCTACACCCTCAACCTCAGCAGTTGTGAAAGTTCCTGATGAAGTTTAGAACCACCAAGATGAATGATACTGGGGAAATGGGGTAAACAGCAGTATCCCTGAGGCTTGAGCAAAGACTGGAATGTTTAAATCTGACCTTTGATCCAAAGAACTGTCCTAATTTAAAACCAAACAAAACCAAAAAAAAAAAAAAACTGGTCTTCCCAGAAGACACAACAAGAGAAAATAAGCGAGCACATTGTTGAAGGCTTTTGGCTAGATACCTGGAAACATTTCTATACCACAGGAATTTCCAAGTATTAGCATGAACGGCAGAGAAGAGCTCAAGAATCTGTTCCTCTGGAGATCTTCAAACAAGGACGTATCATCAGATTGCTTGCACTGTTTTAAAATCAGGGCTGAGTGGAAATTGGTGGGCCAAACTGGCCCTTTCCAGCACTGTCTGACAGAAGTCCATGCTTTCCATATCAAAGTACCTCATCTCAAGGTTCTGAGAGCTCTTCTTTGTTCTGGGACAGAGAAGACCGCACTCCTTTACCAGTGTGAGCTCTGAGGGAAACTGTAGGATCATCGATGTTAAGTAGGAACAGTGTTCATGGATCTGAGATCAGAGGCAGTGTGTGTGTGTGTGTGTGTGTGTGTGTGTGTGTGTGTTCAAAATCAGGGCCTAAGTTCTTTTCCTTACCTTTTTCCTCAATGCTGGTACTCTATCACTGGAGCCACAGTTCCACTTTCCACTTTTTCTGGTTATTGGAGACAAAGTCTCACACACATTCCTGTCTGGGCTGGCTTTGAACCACAATCCTCAGATCTCAGCCTCCTCAACAGCTAGCATTAAGAGAATGAGCCACCTGCTCCCATTGACACTTCTTTTAAAATCAGATTTCCTGACTGGCAAACAACACATGGCATTTCTCAAGCAAACCACTGGTGTAAACATGGTGAAGAATGGAGAAGAGTTTAAGGAAAGAAGGATCAACACCATAGCAGCTCTTGCCTTCACTGGATAAAGGTAAGGATTACGAAAAGCCAGGGAGGAGTGTGCATTTAATATGAGGACCTATTTCCTAAGTGCTTGTTCCAACAGCGGTAATGAATCCAATTTCCCTTAGTATTAAGTAAAGCTTACTTTGGAGAAAAACAAGTAGATGCTTAAAATTATCTTTCAACTCATTATTTTTCTGTCAAATGTACCTCTGACCTCCTGGTGACCTGAATCTTGATTATGCTATCTGGAGCACCAGAGGGTAACCAGACTTAAGGCAACGTCTTCAACATGCTGGTATTTATGAAAAAGTAGGTGACTTTAGCAAAACGCATATATTTTTATGAACAACTCGTAACTAAGAAGTAGAACTGTAATTGTAAAAGAAAACAAGCACTCTGCAGTTAAAATTCTACTGAAGAATTCTTCTATAAGCCACTGGGAACGTTCTCCAGCAAAATAAATGGTGAGCACAGAAACTACACGCACTGAAAAATCTCGATATTAAGCCGGGTGTGAAAGGTTGAACTGCCGTCTTCTGAGTGTCTCATTATCCACTACACGAATCCCAAAGCAATTTTAAAATACTTAACTGTTTTCTTCTTTGAGATACCTTATCTGAAAATCGTGTTGGGGAAAAAAAATCTGTTTGTTTTTTTTTTAAAGATAGTTTGAAATCAGGCAGCTTAGAGGAGAGGAGAAAAGATAAATAAAAGTTGCTAAAAGTAATCCATACTGCAAACCTTTTAAAAGTTGAATTTCCTTAAATTTGCGAAGGACCAAAAAAAAAACCACCCAGCTGATCCTTATCAATTAATTAAAAAGAATGAAATAACAGTAGACAAAGGAGAAAAGGAGTTAAGCAACTTAAGAAGCTGGAGGGGGTAGTACTCTGGGAGGGGGTAGTACTCTGTCTCTCCTCTGTCTCTGTCTGTCTCTCTGTCTGACTGTGTGTCTGTATCTCTCTCTCTGTTTCTTTCTCTGTGTTTCTCTCTCTCTCTCTCTCTCTCTCTCTCTCTCTCTCTCTCTCATTGATGAACAAATTATTCAGAGCTGGGAGAGAGGCACGCAGTGATCGGGATGGAAAAGTCGTCTTAGAATTCACCACAGGTTCCGCCTTGGACTGACTCAGAGGAAACGTCTGGCTGTGAATTGAAAAGAACTCCCTCTATAGAACGCGCCCGCTCCTCCTGGACGCACGCGCCTTCCTCCTCGCTTATTTATTTATTCTGCAATGCCCGCATGTGCATAAATGAGTTCATGTTGGTGTCGGGGCCAAGAGTTTGGAGGTCAACCCTCCCTGGCAAAGCAACAATTCCGCGATGCGCTTGAAACCGTGACGCGTTCAGACATCCGCAAGACGCTAGGCAGCCACCCACCAGTTGTTGGTTTGGGGTGGTTTTTTTTGGGGGGGTGGTAAACCGGAGACTGGGAATCTGCGGTTCCCCCAGGAACTCTAGGCACCGCACCCCGAGATCTCCCAGCGTCTCCTGGCTCCTCTTGGCCTCTCCGGGTTCAGACCCCCCCGCCCCCGACACCGGTTCATTCAGAGTCCCGGAGAAGCTCGGATTCGGTTGGAGCCAAGAGCCGGAAAACGCGCACCCCAGACAGGCAGCGGCTGCTGCACACGAGCGCAGACACACGGGGTGGGAGGGGGGGTGCTCTTACACCCGGCACGCTGTGGGGGGTGGAGGGCCCGCGCACCCCGAGTCCATCTCCCACTGGGCCACACCGGCTTAAGTTGGCTCCGCTTCCCGGAGGCGGAGGAACGGTTGAGGCCGCGCTCGGGACCCGGCGGTGCGCGGGGTGGTGGCTGGGGGGGCACGAGGGGGTCCCCCACCGGACTGGTGACCAACTGCAGTGGAGCGAGACGCCTCCCCAAAACACCAGCCCTGAAAGGCGGGCGTCCTGAGGTTGGGGTTCCTGTGTCCCGCGCCCCTCCAGTCCCCACCCACCCACCTCCCTCAGCGGAGCACACTCGGGGTCAGGCCGCCGGATGCTCAACCTCGTCCTGCGAGGGAAGGACCGCAGGGAGTAGGGGGGACCCCGCGTCTCTCCATCGCCCTCCCCACCCGCGCCAGCGCGAAGGCGGGAGTGGAGACGGCGCCGCTCAGACTGGGGCGCTGGGCAAAAACTGTGGCCGCAGTTCCTCCAAGTTTGCCGGAGAGAGAGGCACGGGATGGGGCGTCCTGGCTCCGCGATCTACCCTCGCCCCGCCGCAGCCCGTGGTGGTGGTGGTGGTGGCTGGCGGGTGGAGGGTGTCCAGAGCTCCGGGGTCCGCGCCTGGCGTGCGCCCACCACCGCGGGTGGGTAAGAAGGGCGCGAGAGCCGAGCGACCGAGGGAGGAAGGGACAGAGCCAGGGCGCTCCCGCGTGCGCACACAATGAGGCAGGGGACCGGCGCGCACCCTCCGTCCCTCCCCACTCATCCCCTCCACACACACACACACATACACCGGCGCCCAGACGCGGGGTTCCGGGGAGCCCCGAGAGAAAGTGAACACCAACTCAGCCACCGGGGGAGGCTAGGAGATAGGGAGCCCGATGGATGATGTGGGGTGGCCGCCCCCCTTCCCCCGGGGCGCTACGCTTACCTGCTATCTCCTGGTAGGGGATATCCACCAGGCTGAATCCCTTGGCGCCGTACGCCTGGCGGACCTCGCCGCAGCTCCGAGCCTTCACGTCCGCCCCGGCCGGGAGACACAGCAGCAGCCCGGAGAGGGGAAGCATCACAGCTCCGATCCAAGAAGAAGGCATGGTGCAGTTTGCAAATCCAGCTCGGTTTTAAAAAACAATGTATATATATATATATATATATATATATATATATATATATATATATATAG